CTCCCCTCCCCTCCCCTCCCCTCCCCTCCTCCCCTCCCCTCGCCTCCCCTCCCCCCCCTCCCCTCCCCTCCCCTCCACTCCCCTCCCCTCCCCTCCCATCTCCTCCCTCCCATGCGTGCAGCTCTCCCTGTCGAGCAACGGCCTCACATCCCTCACCAACGATCTCAGTGGGTGCATGTCTTTAGAAGAGCTGCGACTAGCCCACAACCACATTTCGGTGCGTGCAAGTGAACTGTTTTGCCTGTACGCATGCACTTCTCACACGTTCACACGCTCACCTGCTCACACGCTCACCTGCTCACACGCTCACATGCTCACATGCTCAGGTCCACAACACATTGCGTGTATGTGTCTGGAGGAGCTGTGACTGACCCACAACCATGATTCTGTGCGGATTCATGTGCCGTAGCACATAATATTTCCTCCCCCCCCCCCCCCCCCCCCCCCCCCCCCCGGAAACATATGTGTCGTTGTTCTGCATCGTCTCCATAATATATACCTGTTTCCTTACCTCTAATTCTGCAAACATGTGAATGCACTTCAGATAAGTTGTCGTCCTTTCTCGCCTCCGTTCCTTCATCCCGTCCCACACCCCCCAGGCACTCTCTTCCACCCCCCAGGCACTCTCTTCCACCCTTTCCTCTGCCCCAGGCATCCTTGATCTCTCTTCCAATCTAATCCCTTGGATCAAACACAAATCACTCAGTTTTAAGACCCGCTGAAAGCAGTGTCTTCTGGTCTTTACCAACCCCCATCTTCCTTTCTTCCCTCCCCCCTTCATCCCATCCCACAGGCCCTCTCCCCCACCCTCTCCTCCCTCACCCGCCTTCGAATCCTCGATCTCTCCTCCAACCAAATCGCCTCACTTAAGCTCCTCTCCCTCTTCTGTGTTTTTTCTCTTCCTTTCCCTCCGCCATTCTTCCCATCCCATCCCACAGGCCCTCTCCCCCGCCCTCTCCTCCCTCACCCGCCTTCGCATCCTCGATCTCTCCTCCAACCGAATCGCAACACTCAAGCTCCTCTCCCTGCCCACCCTCGCCGCATTCCCCCGCCTCAACTCCCTCTCTGTCCGTGGGAACCCTCTGCTTGGGGACAATCCTCCCAAGGTTGAAGCCCAGGTGAGACCAAAGCCCAGGTGAGAAGCTTTTATAGCTTTGAGGCTGCTTGACAGTCCTGTGCAGTGCGCTCCACGTCTATCCACGCTTCTCCTCCCTCTCTGTGTGTGGGATCCCTCCACTTGGGGACAATCCTTCCAAGGTTGAAGCCCAGGTGAGACCAAAGCCCAGGTGAGTTTTGAAACATTACAGAACGCAAGCGGGAACAAGTGTTTTACTTTTGAGGCGCCTGAAAAGGCCAACCACCTGCTCGGGAGCTATCTCTTCCTCCACCCATCCATACCACACCCTAAAGCACCTGCCTCGATCGCCATTCTGCTGAATAAAAAACATAAAATATATAGTTTGTGGGAATTTCAACTTTTTTCTCTATTCCCCCTGTTTGCCCCCCCTTCCCGCCCCACCCACTCCACACCAGTTTCTGAAGCACTTGCACAACGTGGGAAAGGGTTTTTGAGTCAACTCATGTTTTATCCTCCTTCCTGGTTCCACCCCCCAACCTCTCTTCCCCCTGCACCACCTATCCCTACCAGATTCTCAAGCAGGAGACCCCTCCCCCTGCCCCGCTTAAGTCTTTTTCAATTGACCCAAGAAGTTCCCCTCCTTCCGTCTTCGCCCCCCCCTCACAAGAGATGATTGAGAGAGGTTCCGTCTCGCAGGTACCTTCCTCAATCATCTCTTGCGTCTCTTGTGTCTCAACTCCAGATTCTCAAGCACCTGCCTCGCTTGCGACTGTTGGATTCTCGCAAGCTGCGGATGGGCTGTTGAGTCGAATCAATGTTTCCCTCCTTCTTGAGTCGACTCATCCCTCCTGGCCCCCCTCTTATCACCCTCCTTCCCTCTCCGCCCCCCCTCTTATCACCCTCCTTCCCTCTCTGCCCCCCCTCTTTTCACCCCCCTCCCCCCCCCGCCCCACTCACCCACACCAGATTCTCACACACCTGCCTCGCTTGCGACTGTTAGATTCGCGTAAGGTGGGGAAGGGAGGAGGGAGGGGGCGAGAGGCAGAGGGGGCTGGGGAGGAGGGTGAAGTACTGGGTGACAGCAGCGGAGATGCTACTATGGAGGATGAGGAGGCGAAGGAAACGAAGGGAGAGGCGGGAAAAGGGAAGAAGGGGCAGAAGAAGAAGCAGGGGAGTGAACAGGGGGAGGAAGAGGGGCAGAAGCAGGAGGAAGGGGGAAAGGAGGGGAAGGGGTTGGGAGAAGGGAAGCAGGAGAAAGAAAGGACTGCAGAGGTGGTTAAGGAGAAAGGAGAAGAGACTCACTGTGCTGCTGGTGGTGCTCGTGCTGTTGCTGGTGCTGCTCGTGGTGCTCGTGCTGTTGCTGGTGCTGCTGGTGATGCTGCAGTGGGGGCGGAGGGGAAGAGAGCGAGGAGAGACAAGGCCAGGGCGGAAGGGGAGGCGAAGGTGATGCATGGGAGGGAAATGCTGCTGCCTGTGATGGTGGACAGGAAGGGAGGGAAGCGGGAAGTGACGGGGGAAATGGGATAAAGGAAGGGGAAGCGAAGAGAGAAGGGAAGAAAGGAGGGGAAGGGAAAGGGGAGGTTGCGAAGGGGGTGAAGAGAAAGTCAGAAGTGTTGGTGGGTAGTGGGGTAGGAATGGGAGAGGAGGATGGTATGTGGATGGCAGAAGGCAGGGCAGGGTTACCAGAGCTCAAGGGAGGGAATGTCAGGGTAATAGAGAAGGTGAAGGGGATGGAGAAAGTGGGGAAGAAAGCAGGCATAGCTAAGGTGCTGAAGAGTGAGTGGGTTGACCGGATTGGGGAGGGAGGGGAGTCCGCTTGGGACTGAGTGAGGCTTGCTTATTTTGAGGCATCTCATAACAGGTTTACCATCAGGTGGGAAAGCAGGCATATCGAAGGTGTTAAAGGGTGAGTGAGTGGGTTGACCAGATTGGGAAGGGAGGGGAGTAAGCGTTGGATTAATTGGGGCTTGTTCGGAAATATACCGTGTGCATGTTGAATCAAGGTGGAGTTGTCAGAATCCCAGCCACTAACCACTGGGATAAAAGGGCTTGTTTGTGTAGCGGGTGAGTGCGCCCATAAACCCCCAAGCCGCCATGCCTGTAACCCTTCCCTAGGATCAATCGGGGATCACCAGTGGACCTCTGACAAGAGTTAACAAGCACCTCAGTGATTAAAACCGCAACAGGTTGAGAGGTGTGAAGTTGGGTTGTCATCAAGTGCTTGAAGGGATCAGCTATGCCAAGTTTGGCCGTTTCAGTCGCCGCCTTGAGCTATCTGCTTATTCCAACATCAGATTGTTTAGTGACACAAGTTAATATTCATATTTTCATTTACTTTATTAGTAACGAAAGGTGTGTAAAAGCAAATTGGAAAAGAGAGACATCATGCACTTTAAAACCTGAGGTCAGCATGGCAAATCGTTTTTGTTTCTAGGGTTTTAACACTAGCTGGAAGAGTACCGTAATCGCTCGGATATAAGATAGTGTTGAATAGTAGACAGGGGTTGTCTATTATACGGGTGTCTCTTATAAACAGGCTAGCCTTTTTATACGACACCTATTTGTGTGTACGAGATAAGACATATATGTCTTATAATCGAAACTTCAATATATTATAGCGAAAGTTGAAATACCGCGTACATTTTTACCCTTGCGAAGCGCGAATTCTGCCACTTGCTGACTCAGGTACTACCAAATTTGCCTATGCAAGTTTTCTCTATAACGTGGCATCGCGGGCAGTGGTTGCCGAAGTGACACCTTCGCAACATCCATTCTTATTAAGAGAAACTCATTTTAGGATGTGTGAAAATATTTCTGAGTAGTTTAAAAAGTTTCCATTTATAAGACTTATAAGACACCCTAAACTGTCCCAAATACAAGATAACCCAAGCATTTTTGCCCGTGTACGAGATAAGACATATATGTCTTATATCCGGGCGATGACGGTAGCGAGAACTATTTTCGTTGAGAGTACCCTGGCTGTTAGGCCCGCTGGCCTAAGTCCGCTAAGGAATTAGCGGGGTCGACTAAGTCGAGGATAAACGCGGCGGAAGACTTTGGCGAAAGAGAGTGTTGGCGAAATAGGCGAAGAAGTAACTGAGTAATTGAAGAAGAGTTGAATGAGAATTGGTTGATAATGCCAAGTACAAGCAAGGACAAAAGCATGCAAGAAACAAGGTTGGAAAGTGGATTGTGGGACCAAGAATTGTAGTGCAAGAAAAGTAGAGTGCCACGTGGCACTAGAGAATCTGAGAAGATAAGGATAAGGGTGACTTGGAAAGTACTGTTCGGAATGAACAGTAAACACCCCTCTAACACTACCCCCCTCCCAAGGAGGCGACGTCCGCGGCGCCTGCAGACTGAAGGTACGTTCCGAGGCAAGCGTTGTCGAGAGACAGCGAGGACGAAGGAACCCAGCTGTCGTCGGCTGCATCGTAACCACGCCAACGAACCAAGAAGTCGATGAAAGAGACACCCCCCTGGAGACGGCGACGGTGCCTGAGGATGCGCTGGATCTGGTAGTCGGGCTCGTCGGTGTCAACAGCTACCGGCAGTGGAGTGCGATCACGACCCGAGAAGGTGGTGTTGGGATCAGTGTAAGGCCGAAGGAGAGACACGTGGAATGATGGGTGCATGCGGAAATGAGCGGGAAGGCGAAGGCGGTATGCGACTGGACCAAGTGCGCGCTCAATGACGAATGGACCAATGAAACGTGGGCGAAGCTTGCTGTCCTGTGGCAGTCGGAGGTTGCGGCTGTCGAGAAGGACACGGTCACCGACTGAAAACGACACCTCACGACGACTGCGGTTGGTAGTGCGTGCCATGCGTGCATTTGCGAGCTCAAGGTGCTTCCTCACGTGATCGTGAATGAAGGTGAGATGCTGGTGGAAGTTGTCTGCACAAGGGTCAATGGGTGTGAGATCGACACGAGTGGGGACATTGGGGTGCTGACCGTACAGTGCAAAGAACGGTGACATGCCTGTGGCGGAATGATGCGTGTTGTTGTAGGCGAACTCAGCCATGCTCAGCTTCTTGTCCCATGCGGCTGCGTCGTGCATCGTGATGCTACGAAGAATCTGCTCCAAAGCCTGGTTCACGCGCTCAGTCTGTCCGTCTGTCTCTGGATGGTACGCAGACGACATGGCTAAGCGAGTCCCAAACAGTGCGAAAAGCTGCTTCCAGAACTTCGAGGTGAATCTAGGGTCGCGATCGGAAATGATGGAATCGGGAACCCCGTGCAGTCGGACTACGTTATCTACGAACAGCGTCGCGGCTTCCTCTGCTGTGACCTGACCGTGCGTGGGGATGAAATGCGCTGCTCGAGAAAACTTATCCACTACCACGAAGATCGCGTCGTGACCCCTAACTGTGCGCGGTAATGCCATGATGAAGTCCATCGTAACTACCTGCCAAGGGCGGTCGGGCGGCAGAATCGGTTGCAAAAATCCTGCTTTGCGCTGGCGAGAGGACTTCGTACGCTGACACGTGTCGCACGAGCGAATGTAATCCTCTACGTCTGCTGCAAGCCCTGGCCAGTAGTACGTGCGACTAAGCGTCTTAGCCGTCTTATCTGCTCCGAAGTGACCTGCACTAACTACATCGTGCGCCTCTGAGAGAAGGAGCTGTCGAAGAGGGCGGTAGGCTGGAACCCAAATCCGTGTGGTGCCCTTCCGTATGTAAACACTACCCTGCACCTCTGCTTCTGCGAGCGGCTGCGGTGTGAAGTCGGGATCTACTGTGTAACCGTGCTCGAAGAGTGCTGTGAGAAGTGGATGGCCTGCAGTGACTGTGAGGCTAGCGAGCTGGCAACTAGGGCGAGTGAGCGGATCTGCTGGGTTGCGCACGCCTGGCTTGTACTCTATCCTGTAATGAAAGCTCCCCTCCATGAACTCCATCCATCTAGCCTGGCGACGACTCAGCTGCGGTTGCGACTTGAGAAAGCGAAGCGAGCAGTGGTCCGTGCGTATAACACTGTCTGCCCCCTCTAGGTAGCACCTCCATACCTTATACGCATGGATGATCGCGAGCGCCTCCTTGTCGTGTATGGGATAGTTCAACTCCGCTCCCCTCAGCTTACGCGACTCGTACGCGATCGGCTGCAACCCGCGTCCCTGGTCCTGAAGAAGTACTGCTCCTATGGCCTGATCTGAAGCGTCGGTCACTACAACGTACGGGCGAGTGGGATCAGGGTACGACAGTGTCGGTGAAGACGTGAGCGACTGCTTCATCTGCTCGAACGCCTGCTGCTGCGCTTGTGAGAGTACGACGGCTTATGCTTATTATTCATGCTTGCTTTTATTCCCTTACGCTATTTCTAGCTTAGGTTTATTTTATGCATGCATGAATTGCTTGATTTCCTAGGCTAGGTGCTTTCCTATATTTTATTATAGTTATAGCACCGCGCTAGGTCACGTACACCGAATTCTAGGCTATTCGGTTGCCACCGAAATGCCTTCTACCGAATTCGGGAAGGGTCTGTTCGGGACGCTTCGCGACCCCCAGAACCTTCGCGTAACACCTGGTTACTGCCCCTTGTGTCGAGCCTATATATAGCCTCGTGTTGTACCCAGGTGATCATTCAATTCGATTCAATTCAAACTCTCTTTTCTGAGCTCGATCCTAGATCCTCACAGCGCTGGACCCCAAACGTACTCTACGCCTTTCCGAAGTAGGTCGGTGAGTGGCTGGAAGCGTAACCCTGAACGAAACGACGGTAATAATTTGCAAAACCGAGGAAGCTCTGCAACTCCTTGACTGAGGTCGGTGCCACCCAATCCTGTACGGCTGCGATCTTCTTCGGGTCGGTCCTAACGCCACTAGCGGAAACGACGTGACCTAGAAACTCGACCTCGGGGAGGAAGAACTCGCACTTAGATTGCTTTGCGTACAGCTTCTCCCTCCGCAAGACCTCAAAGACCTTCTGCAAGTGCTGCACGTGCTCCTCTTTCGACTTGGAAAAGATGAGTATGTCGTCTAGGTAAACGACAACGAACGAACCTAGGAACTCGGAGAGGACGGTGTTCATAAGCGTCTGGAACGTCGCTGGGGCGTTGGTCAGTCCGAACGGTAGAACCCTAAACTCGTACAACCCCTGCTTCGTACGAAACGCCGTCTTGTGCTGGTCCTCTGGAACTACACGAATCTGGTGGTAACCCGAACGAAGGTCGATCTTAGAAAAGACTCTAGCGCCCTGCACTGCATCTAGAAGATCCTCTACTCTCGGCACCGGGAATCTGTTCTTGACGGTGGCGGCGTTCAGTGCGCGGTAATCTATGCACATCCGTAACCCTCCGTCTTTCTTAGGCGCGAAAAGGATCGGTGCGGCCCAAGGCGATCTAGATGGCTGTATGAACCCCTGTGCGAGAAAGTGCCTAACCTGCTGCGTCATCTCCTCTGTCTCTGCTGGACTCAACCTCCACTGCGGCTTCGCTACTGGCCTGCTCCCCGGCTCCAACTCTATTCGATGGTCGACTGCTCGGCTAGGAGGTAACCCTGGGGGCAACTCGTCGGGGAAGACGTCTGCGAACTCTGCTAACAGTGCACTCACCTCAGCAGGAAGAGTCGCCTTCTCACTAACTGCTGCGCTCCCTCCTTTCCCCTCCTCAGCTTCCACCTCCTCAAGGAAAACCGCGAAGATCCGTGCCGCTCGCTTCACCAGCTGTCGCACACGAACAGCATTGATGATCGCTGTGGATGATGTGGCCCCATCGCTCCACTGTGGCAGCTCCCGGAACTCGCCATCTACCTTGACGCTGCAGCTTCCCTGAGCCCAATCGAACTGAGTCGAAACCGTCCGCAACCAATCTCTACCCGAGATGAAATCGTAACCGTCCAGCGTCGCAGAGTCGAAGTCACGCCTAACTGTGATCGGTCCTAGCACTACGCGCAACTTGCGAATGACTGGTCCTATGTGGAGAGGCGTCCCATCTATCATGCGAGCGTCCTTGAAGTTGACTGAGGAATCTGCTTCAAGATGGAGACGGCTAACTAATGAAGACGAAACGAACGAGTGGCTAGCTCTGCTGTCGACGAGAATCTTAACAGGAACTCCGCGAAGCTTCCCTAGAAGCACGACTGGTCGGTCAACAGTGTCTACCTCGTTCTCCGTAGATGACTGCTGCAAGGCCGTCTCCTCTACGTTGGTAGACGTGGCGGGTACGGGAACCTCCACGCCAGCTAGCGACCCGCTATCTACTGGCGGTTTCCGTTTCCCTGCTGCCGCTCCTTGAACTGTGGGCAGTCCCGCTTCATGTGTCCCGGCTTTTTGCAGTAGTGACAGTTCCCCCTAAATCCGTTGCGCTGTGAGCCGTCACTGTTAACTGCACCAATCTCCATGGGCGACGGTCCGTCCCTCGATCGAGCGTCGTTGATCGGTCTATTGTATCCCCTATCGCGATCGTCACGACCCCGTCGGCTTCGTACTGCGTCGACGCGTTCTGCTGCTGCGACTACTGACTCGAAGGTGGACAACCCGTGAATCGCAATAATCTCCGCTATGTCCGGCTTCAACCCTTCGAGGTAGCGATCGCGCATCTCTGCTTCCGTGATGTCGTCTATCTCGTTGCAGATGCTCAAGAACCGTCGTGTGTACTCCTGGACGTTTCCTATCTGTCGGAAATGACGCAGACGCTTCCTAGCAGCTTCGGAGGCGTTCACCAAATCGAACCTACTTTTTAGCGTCGCTTCAAATCCTTCCCATGTCCTCGGAACCGTGGTAACACCCAAAGCTAGAAGTTGCAGCTGCATGCCCCACGCCCTGTTGATGCCCGTCTAACTGAGCCCTCCGTACAGCAGTCTGCGTAAGTTGGCGCCACCACTCCAAGGCCGGGCCCCTCATCAACGTTACGGCGTACTCGATCCGCTGCTGCGCGTCCGCCTCTTGCACCCCGCTCGCGGCGAAGTAATTGTTGAGCATGAAGAGCCACGTCCGCACGTTCGCGTCGCGTTGACTTGGGTCGAACGACTCGGGCTTCTGCGGCTTGAGCGCGCTTCGACGTTCCGGCAGCGCTTCCGCGCCAGTCGACGTGGTGGGTGCAGGAGTTGGTGCGGCAAGGCCATGGGGGTTAGAAGCCAAATTGCGAAGTTGTTGCATTTCGGCTCGTACCTGACGATTTTCGAACGTCAATTCTTCGAGTTGACGCATGAGCTCGGCAAGCGTGTTGCCCATGTCGTGGGGGAAAGCGTTCATGGATTCGTCCATGTTCGCTCGACGACTCCAAGTCTGCAAGTCGGCACCGCGGGACGATGACGGCGTAGTCTCGTCGTCGACGGTCGCTCGTTGGAAGTCGCTCCCCGCGAAGGCTCTGATACCAAGTGTTAGGCCCGCTGGCCTAAGTCCGCTAAGGAATTAGCGGGGTCGACTAAGTCGAGGATAAACGCGGCGGAAGACTTTGGCGAAAGAGAGTGTTGGCGAAATAGGCGAAGAAGTAACTGAGTAATTGAAGAAGAGTTGAATGAGAATTGGTTGATAATGCCAAGTACAAGCAAGGTTTATATAGCATGCAAGAAACAAGGTTGGAAAGTGGATTGTGGGACCAAGAATTGTAGTGCAAGAAAAGTAGAGTGCCACGTGGCACTAGAGAATCTGAGAAGATAAGGATAAGGGTGACTTGGAAAGTACTGTTCGGAATGAACAGTAAACACCCCTCTAACACTGGCGAAGCAAAACATATGTTCGCCACACATGTTTTATTGGACAAAAGGCGATTTGGCGACCAAGCTTCCGACCCATCAGATTTGGCGCTGTTGCAGCTAACAACTCACATTCAGTCGCTATAGATTCCGACCATCGCACACCAGCTAGGGTTTTTCAGTGAACACAATTCAGACAACTTGAATTAGTAGGTGCAGCACGTATATGTAAACGAAGGGAAGCGCATGCGCAAGATGCAAGTGTGAAGCACGGAGAAAATAGGTGTGAGGAGAAGAGAAAGGGCCGCTTTGCCTACCTCGCGACCGTCGCCCGTCGCCCGTGCTTTCTCCGCCCACCGCCCACGCCCCGCCCATCGCCCTCGCTTCCTCCCCGCCCGTCGCCCTCGCTTCCTCCGCCCGCCCTCGCTTCCTCCGCCCGCACTTGCTAATCCCATCCCGTCGACCTTGTCAGAATCCCAGCCACTAACCACTGGGATAAAAGGGCTTTTTTGTTTGTATAGCGGGTGAGTGCGCCCATAACCCCCCAGGCCGCCATGCCTGTAACCCTTCCCTAGGATCAATCGAGGATCACCAGTGGACCTTTGACACCCCCCCGCACTGGGATGCCCGAGGTGCACACACCGGGATTTGAACCTGAGATCTTTGCTCTGATACCATATCAGAATCCCAGCCACTAACCACTGGGATAAAAGGGCTTGTTTGTGTAGTGGGTGAGTGCGCCCATAACCCCCCAGGCTGCCATGCCTGTAACCCTTCCCTAAGATCAATCGGGGATCACCAGTGGACCTCTGACAGACCTCGCTTCCCTCGCCCATCCCCCTCGCTTCCCCCGCCCAGCCCACGTTTTGTACTCCAAATTGGGCGTTTAACGCGGCTCGACGCTGCCAAATCCTACATTACAAGCAGTTTCGCTTTCAAAATACATAATTTTGAACCCCGTTACAGCTTTAGTAGTGATCTCGCACTTTTAGTATATCAAACATAACACAAATACCATAGCAAGCTCAACGCATGATAGTACTGTACCACTGCAACAGGCAAGAACTTGCTGAATACACTGCAGGCTGCAGAAATGAAAATATCCCTGCGGCAAAAAAATTATGGTACTACCACTGCTGCAATAATTACAAGTTAAGTTCCAGCCACAGCTTCATGTCGCGGACACACATCTCCTGCACCTGGCTGTCCTCCCCACACCTCACCTGCACAGCCACTATCTCCTTCCTATGCGCCTCCAGCCATGCCCTATCCCCCACTGCCTTCCACCCAGGTGGGAATAACTGCTCTGGCAGCACCCCCACGCTTGCTCCTCTTCGCCCCTCTCCTGTATCTCCCGCACCTTCTTCCGTACCTGCATCTATGCCTCCTGCCCAACCCGGACCTTCACCCAACCCAAGCTCCTCCGCTCCCACAAGCCCCGCTTCCCGAACCATCTCAGCCATGGTATGGTTGAGAGCCCTTTTGAGAATCTCAGAACCAGAAAACACACCCGAACCACTGGCAGCTTCTGCTGCTTCTGCATACTTAAAACCTTTTAAAGCCCTGAGGGCCCAGCGACTCACCATGGCTTGCACAGCAGGGGAGGGGCGAAGAGCCATGAGCCATGGAGAGAGGGACCCCAGGAGGGATGGCATGAGGGCGATGGTGGTGTTGGCAGGTGCAGGGGCTGCTGCCTCCTGTTGCTCCCTGCTGCCCCCACCCTCACCCCCCTTGCTGCTCTCTCCTTTCTCTCCTTTCTCTCCTGGCCCGTTCTCTGCTTCCCCTTGTGCCCCTTGCACTGCTGCGATCGCTGGCTGCTGCTGCTGAGGTGGGACTTGGTTGGAGAGGGAGGGAAGCACGAGGGAGTAGGCTGGCAGGAAGTAGGGGCGCGCGTCACGCAGCCACACTGAGTTGATGTCGCTGGTGGGCAATGGGGGGAAGGAGAACGCAGGGAGATTGAGGGGGCAACAAAGGAAATATGAGACTAGGAGCGGGCGTCACACAGCCACACTGAGTTGATGTCGCTGGTGGGCAATGGAGGGAAGGAGAACGCAGGGAGATTGAGGGGGCAACAAAGGAAATATGAGACCAGGAGCGGGCGTCACACAGCCACACTGAGTTGATGTCGCTGGTGGGCAATGGAGGGAAGGAGAACGCAGGGAGATTGATGGGGCAACAAAGGAAATATGAGACCAGGAGCGGGCGTCACACAGCCACACTGAGTTGATGTCGCTGGGAGGAGGGGAGGGCGCAGGGTGGGGTGAGGGGGGCGGAGGGAAAGAAAAGGTGCAGAGGGAGCGCGGTGGGAAAAGAGAATGAGAGAAGGATAAGCGACGAGTGCGGGGAGAATGGGGGACGAATGAGGAGAACGTAGGGGAGAAAGGGAAGAACTAGGGGAGAGTAAGGAGAGATTTAGGGTGACTTGGGTGATATATATTGCAAAACAAGGAGATTATACTTCAAAGCAATGTGCTCTGCTCACCGCTCTGCTCACTGCTCTGCTCACTGCTGTGCTCACTGCACCTGTAGACGGCAGTAATGTTGGCAGCGAACAGGCGGGCGGGCGAGAATGAGGGGACAGTGGGTGATTCTACTGCGATTCTAGCAGCATTGCGGACAAAGCACTGCTCACTGCAGTGCTCACTGCACTGCTCACTGCACTGCTCACTGCACTGCTCACTGCACTGCTCACTGCACTGCTCTCTGCACTGCTCACTGCACTGCTCACTGCACTGCTCTCTGCACTGCTCACTGCACTGCTCTCTGCACTGCTCACTGCACTGCTCTCTGCATTGCTCTGTGGGCACTACACTCTGGGCACTGTACCTGTAGACAGCGGTGACATTAGCAGGCAGGAGACAGGAGATGATGAGGGGAAAAACGGCACCTATCAGCCGGCGGGTTATATTATACAGCATATATCACTGCTCACCATACCTGTAGCTGTAGCAACACGCTGACTGCACTGCGCACTGTACCTGTAGACGGCGGTGACATTGGCAGCCAACAGGCGGGCGATGATGAGGGGCGGTAGCAGCAGGCACGTGGCTGCAGCCGCTTGCACCATCATACACAGTGCACTTTGAAAACACACCAACGCACACCTGTAGACAGCAGTGACGTTGGCAGCCAGCAGACGAGCGATGATGAGGGGAGGAAGTAGCAGGCACGTGGCTGCAGCCGCTTGCACCATCATACACAGTGCACTTTGAAAACACACCAACGCACACCTGTAGACAGCAGTGACGTTGGCAGCCAGCAGACGAGCGATGATGAGGGGAGGAAGTAGCAGGCACGTGGCTGCAGTCGCTTGCACCATCATACACAGTGCACTTTGAAAACACACCAAAGCACACCTGTAGACAGCAGTGACGTTGGCAGCCAGCAGACGAGCGATGATGAGGGGAGGAAGTAGCAGGCACGTGGCTGCAGTCGCTTGCACCATCATACACAGTGCACTTTGAAAACACACCAAAGCACACCTGTAGACAGCAGTGACGTTGGCAGCCAGCAGACGAGCGATGATGAGGGGAGGAAGTAGCAGGCACGTGGCTGCAGCCGCTTGCAGGGACGTCCTCTCCTTGGGTCGGTCTACGGTGTGCCCCCCTGGCATGCGCATGACCTGTGGTGGGGAGATACAGGGGGAAGACACGAGGGAAGAGACGGGGATGGCACGGGGGGAGACATGGGGGCAGCTGTGAGAATCTCATGGGAGATGGTTGAGTTGGTTCAAAACGCTGCAGCCACTTGCAGGGACGTCCTCTCCTTGGGTCGGTCCACGGTGTGCCCCCCTGGCATGCGCATGGGCTGTGGTGGGGAGAGACGGGGGGAGAGATGGGGGGGGGACACGGGGGGGATATGGGGGGGAGACACGGGGGGAGAGAAGGGGGGACACGGGGAGGACATGGGGGGAGACACGGGGAGGGACGTGGGGGAAGACACGGGGATGGCTGTGAGAACTTGGCGGGAGAGAATTGAGTTGACTCGAAAAGCTGCTGGCACTTGGAGAGACGTCTTCTCGGGTTGACCTACGATGTGCCCCCTGGCATGTGCATCAATTTGGGTGGGACACACAGGGACAGGAAAAAGGAAGGGGGCGTTACTGAGTTGGCTCAAACAGCTGCAACCACCCAAGGTGACTTTTGAGACGTCTCAAAAGACAGGAAAAAGGAAGGGAGCGTTACTGAGTTGGCTCAAATTTGGGTGGGACACACAGGGACAGGGAAAAGGCAAGCACCCAAGGCGAGATTATTGGATCTGGCATGTGCATAACCTTGGGTGCAACATACAGGGAGGCATGAGGGATTTTGAGAATTCTCCTGATCAGTGTACAAGGTTTTGAGATTGGTCCCAATCAAGCACTGGGAGCTGACATGTGCTTCACCTAGAGGAGGACACTCAGGGACAGGAAAAAGGCAGGGGGAATAGTTGAGCTGGCACAAACAGGAGCAACCACTGAGATCTAGCATGTGCATCGCCTTGGGTGCAACATACGGGGAGAGCACTTCAAAAAAAAAACATGAGATTCACCTGAGCCACAACAGGAGATTCACCTGAGGCACAACACGAGATTCACCTGAGCCACAACATGAGATTCACCTGAGGCACAACACGAGATTCACCTGAGGCACAACAGAAGATTCACCTGAGGCACAACAGAAGATTCACCTGAGGCACATCACAAGATTCACCTGAGGCTCATCACAAGATTCACCTGAGGCACGGAGGCGAGGAGAGATCTCCCGAGCAAAGGGAAGCGGTTCATGCGCGCCCACCAGGTGCGGAACAAGGCATCCTGGCCTGACAGGTTGGGGGGGGGGGGGGGGGGGGGAGGGGGGAGGATGGTGGGGGCAATAAGGAATACGGCATAGGGGAGAGATGGGCAAGACAGGAGATAGGCACAAGAATGTGATTCATGCGCGCCCACCAGGTGCGGAACAAGGCATTCTGGCCTGACAGGTGGGGGGGTGTGGGAGGGGGAAGGTGGTAGTGGGGAATCAGGTGGTGGGGGGGAGAGACTGGTAAGAGAAGGAATATGGTTCATGCGCGCCTGGTGCGGAGTGGAACAAGGCATTCTGGCCTGCAAGGTGGGAGGAGTGGTAGGAGGAAGGTGGTGGTGTGGAGGGGGGATTAGGGAATCAAGCACAGGGGAGGGATAGATGGGTGAGGCAGGAGCAAGAGACTCGCCTGATGTGGGCAAGCCACCACAACAACTCATGGTCGATCTTAAAGCCACCGGTAATACATCCACGTCTCAAAACTAGTTTTGAGACGTCTCAACTTCGCCTGATGTGGGCAAGCCACCACGACAGCTCATGGCCAATCTAAATCCACCTGTTTTATTTACATCCACGCACCATCGCAGGCAACTGCGAAGACCACCAGACTGCCTGTCGGCTATGCTCAACCCTTTCTCCTGCATCTTCCCCAGATCACTTTTGAGTCAACTCACAAGTCATCTCTAACACCCATCCACGCACCATCGCAGGCAACCAGCATGCCATCACCATCTTCTCTAACCGTGAAGACCGGCATGCCATCACCATCTTCTCTAACCGTGAAGACCGGCATGCCACCACCAGCAGCTACGCTTTTGAGTCGCCTCAAAAGCCACCACCAGCAGCTACGCTCACCCCTTTCCCCTGCATCATCTTCAAATGCTGCCACCACCAGCAGCATCCCACCCACCCATGCATGCTGCATCACTACAGGAATCACCTTACATTGACAACAGCAACGCACCATCGCAGGCAACAGTGAAGACCGCCATACCACCACCACCACCAACGTTCACCCCTTTCCCCTGCATCGTCTGCAGATGCTCCCCCACCCACGGCTCCACTGCCTCCAATACCCGCGCCTCCCAATCCCCATCCCCTCTTGCCATACCGCTTCCACCTGCCTGTCCAATCAGCGCCTGCCCCTCCCCCTCCTTCCCACCCCTTGCGCCTCCCTCCTTGCTCTGCTGCACACCCGACATCCCAGCAACCTTCTCAGCCTTGACATCCCTGTCAGCCTTGTCAGCCTTGTCAGCCTTCTCACGCGGCTTAGGCGTTGGGAACAGCAAGATAGGCTCCTCTCTCTCCTTTGCCTCTTCCTGCACCCCTTCTCCTCCCTTGTGTTCAACCCTTCCCTCGCCTGCCTTCTCCTTGCCATCTGCTGCTCCCTGCCCTTTCTCCTGCCCCTCAATCAGCCCTGCAGCAGAAGCATTTGTAGCATTTACAACAGCTGTGCCAGAAGCAGAATCAGAAAGAGCAGCAGCAGCAGGAGCAGGAGCAGCAGCAGCAGCAGCAGCAGCAGCAGGAGCAGCAGCAGGAGCAGCAGCAGGAGCAGGAGCAGCAGCAGCAGCAGCAGCAGCAGCAGCAGCAGCAGCAGCAGTAGCAGCAGCAGCAGCAGCAGCAGCAGTAGCAGCAGCAGCAGCAGTAGCAGCAGCAGCAGCAGGAGCAGCAGCAGCAGTCGCGTTGCCTTGCTCTTTCACCCACCACAAACCCGCCTTCTTCAGCGCCTCAATCTTAGCGCCCTTCCCTTTGACATAGTTCGCATGCACCATCACCACCCGTGGCCGCACCGCCACAAACTCCTCCCAGTGCTCCTGCATCAGATGCCCCGACGGGAACTGCAGCGGCGGCAGCACGCCGATCCGCGGCAGCACACCCATCTGATGCATCCACTTCATTACCAGGTTAAACTGCGCCTGGTCTAGTCCCCCCTCCCGCCCCAGCTTAGCGATCCGAAACGCCCAGTTGCCTACGAGGCTCTTTGCAGCGGCAGTGGGCCGGAAGAAGAGCAGACAGGTGCAGTAGATGCGGCCCCCTTTTTTGAGGAGGCGCGTGTCGATGGGCTCTGTGTAGGGCGACGGCTGCTCTCTGTACCGGTCGATGCTCAAAAACACGTCGAAATTCAACCCGCTGGTGTCAGCGTCCGTGTCAGCTTCAGCAGCAGCAGCAATAGCAGCAGAAGCAGAAGCAGACACATCAGTGGGAGGATTGGGCTTTTGAAAGAAGGGGAGGGGGTTGTGGAGGAAGGCGATATCGACATCGCTGTAGAGAACGGAGAAGCCGAAGGAGAGGAGGTGGTGGATGTAGACTGCCCGGTGGGATGCCACGCTGAAGAACCCGGCTGAGTTGATGTCCACCTCCTTCCTCACGTCCACGTTCTCCTCGTCGTTGAACTGCCCGCTCAGGTCCAGATGAATGGCCTGCAGGAACAAGGAGGGCGGAGAGCACGGAGAAAGTGAAGGAGAGCGGGTGGTGGATGTAGATGGCCTGGTGCGACGCCACGCTAGAAATTGGCTGAGTTGATATCAAGAACGAGGTGAAAGAATGGACAATCTTTACATCCACGCTCTCCTCGTCGTTGAATTGTCCATTCAGGTCGAGGTGAATGGCCTGCGGGAGGGGAACGGAACAGGGTGAGAGGGAGTGGGGTATGGTGCAGTGTCTCAATGTAGGCCCTCAATCCCCCAAGTCCACATTCTTGCTGCGCGTGTAAGGAGACGACTTTTGACTCTGAGACGTCTCAAGAGGTGAAGTGCCTCAATTCAATGTAGCCCCTCACTCTCCCCCGTCCACATTCTCTCTCCGAAACCAGCTTCTCAGGTCGATAATAAAGGCCCAGATTTGGAATCCACAGGAGCAGCAGATGGGAGGAAGGCTTTTGAGGCTCCTCAACAGCCTTCTCAGGTCGATAATGAAGGCTCAGACTTGGAAATCGTGGAAGCGGGAGATGGGATGGGATGAAGGAGGCGGAGAGGGAAGAAGGTGGGAGGAAGGAATGGGAGAGAAGAAGGGAGAGAGTGACGGGATACGGCCGAGAACGTCTGCGACGGCTCTTGCAGGGAATGAATGGGGCTTGTGGGGCATTGCAGGATGGGAACTGACCTGTCCAGTCCATTTGGAGTGGGCGAATTGAAGGATTGTGTTGTCTGCTGCGAAGAGTATGAAGTGGCGGCTCAGACCCACCCGCTCCAGATGCAGCACCCAGTTCTCCAGCATGTCCTCGAACCCTGCAGTGGCACAGTGATGGGTAATAGGGTTACAGGGTAACAAGGTAACAAGGTAACAGGGTAACAGTGAACTCAGAGCCTTCTGGCGCATCTTAACGAGCTCACATGCAGCACCCAGTTCTCCAGCATGTCATCGAAACATGGTCACCCCATGGCGACAGACAGGGAATGAGGGTAACAGGGTAACATTGCCCGGCAGGAATGGGGGTGTTAGTCTACTCAAAAGCCACACACATCTGTGGTCCTCACTAGTCAGCATACTGCCGTAGCCCTGGCCAGCATACAGGCTGGTGACCACCAATGCAATTACATTGACTGGATGCAACATGGACGACTCACCATTTCACGCAGCGACAAGGTAACAGGGTGACAACACGAAGAAAATCCAGTGAAGAGGGAAGCAGGAAAGATTTTTTCGCTTCTTCAGCATGTCTCGAAGGCCGGAAGCAGGGTAACATGGGAAAACGAATACAGTAACGTGGTAACGGAATACTGGGGAATGGCGGGCAGGAGAATTTAGCGAACCATCATCGCACCTGCATTGGACAACGCGATAATGATGGTCCCGTTAAGCGAGAGGCGGCTGGCCATGTCCCATAGCGCGCCGAGCTTCTCATGAACCTCGCCGAGGCCGCCGTCTTCTGTCAGGCGACGACGGACCGGTTCGCGAAGGGGTTCGCGAGAAGGTTTGGCGAAGGAGCAGGCGACGGAATGGGTGCTGAGAAAAAATGCGACGAGGAGGAGGAGAGAGGAACGGAAGAGACGCTGACAGGAGAACGAGGAGGTTCTTTGCACAGGTGGCAACGGCTTTACTGTGGCTGAAAGATCCATCCTTAACAGAACTTGCCGGATCGCAAAATGCCGCAAGGCTTGTGCGAGTTAGTGGATGTAGGCGTTGTAGTATGAAGTGAACTGGGTGTGTGGCATGGAAACCCATTGCTGCTACGTCTGGGCTGAAATAGGCTGCATCAGGAATTAGTAGGCTGAGGATGTGGATGGACATTACAGTAGCTGGCAAATTCCACAGAGTACTGTTCAGTGGGGTGTGGGGTGGGGTGGGGTGGGGTGGGGTATGAAGGAGGATATGATGTGCACAGGGACGGAGGAAATTCTGGCGTTTCGATGCGTATACTGATCGATTTGCGAAATGGAAACCTCGATCTCTCCTCCATGGCTGCCTGACGCCAGCCTGGATCTCACATTGCGTGAAGCCTATTTGTCAGCTGGCTTTAATCTTATCAGCATTATAATCGCTGCAGCAAGACGAAGAGGATTATGTACGTTTTATGTTCACCAGGCGAACATTTTATTTTCCTTTAAAGCTCAAGGCCCAAATTGCGGGCCGCGCAGGGCAAGATTAGTAATCTTGCACACTTCTCATTTTCCGTGCTGGTGTGTGGCGAAAATTTGGTTACAGTAGGTGCGATGCAATCTGATTGGTCGAACCAAAACTCATTGCCAAAACATCGAGTTTTACTACTCTGCAATTTGGGACTCGAGGTCCCAAACTCACGTTTCCCCCGGAAGCTCGCTGACTCAGCGAAAAAAAAACAAGTGTTACGGGCGAAATCCGACAGGTCACCTTCCCAACACTCCCCTCGACCCCCACGTTCCCAAACCCACCCCTCACCACGCAAGATTAGTAATCTTGTGCAATTTGGGCCTAGAGCTTTAACTGGTGCGTTACGCTGATCAATCAAACAAGGCCCAAGGCTAATGCGTGGTTCCCAGGGGTATGTGTCATCACAAGGCTACCAGCTAAGCTACCATTAATTGGCTATCTGGATTACACACTGATAACTCAAGATGACCCTGAAGTTGCCACAGCGGCCCAGCAACATCTACGTCAGGAGCATTGGGTTAAGGCTCTAGCATGTTTATTACTTAACAGTGAAGTGCTCAGACTACCGGCTCAATGTTCTCAACAACTCCGTCTGTCAGAGCTTCAGCCGGTTTCTTGTCATCATTGCACGACGATGCCTCCTAAGAACTCCCGTAAGGCTGCTGCTGATGCTGCCTTGGTCAACCCTGCTGGTGGTTCTGATCCTGCGAGCAAGTCAACGCCAAGCAAGCGGTCAGATGTGGTTGTTAATCTACCGTCGGAGGCGGACGTTACTGCTGGGAGCTTTGGCCTTTCTGTCGAGGAGAAGCTGAAGGCGTTGGCCACGGTGGCTGCTGACGACTCATTTATCGAAGATGGCTCTGATGAGGAGCTGGAGATTGACGCGAGCAAGGGGATCTCACCTCACTTGCGTTCGACGGTGATCCTGCTTTTTCCAGTGATTCCGTCGCATGAAGTCGCTTCTGTCATTCTAACTGTGCGGACGCTCATGAAGCGTGTATGGGCAAACCTGCTTTCTGATGACGTATTGGCCACGGTGAAGTTTCAGGAGCTGCTTCCCGCGTTTGTTGCCAAGACCCGCTACAGTCGTCTTCAGGTGTCATTCCTGCGAGAGTCCGACGCTGTGAACATTAAGCAGACATCGGTGGATCATAAGCGTCCCAACGGAACTACGATTTACTGCTTCTGGCTACACCAGGAAGATCTGGCTTACCTGCGTATGAAGGCGACAAGTCCGCAGATGCTGGAGGTGTATTTCAAAGGTGTTCCCGCTGACATTCCTCCGGATCTGGTTTTGGAGGTGATGGTGAAGCATCCGCTCAAGATCCGGAAGCAGTCGGCCTTCAATGAAGGTCACTGCTTTCACCGCGTCCTTCACCCGGTGACCGGCACTGACACGGACAAGATCAAGGGCCTGGTTATTCCGCACGCTGGCGACAAGCACCGCTGGCGTCACGAATACCGTCATCAGCTGCTGGGTGGCACGACTCTGTTGGATCACTTCCCCCTGCTATCCTGCACGCTCTGTGGTGGGCACCATTATGACAAGTTTCATAATGCGTTCGTCATGGAACGTCAGAATTGTTAGAATCACAGGCAGGAATGATGAACTAACAGCACGCATGAGTACAAATAGTAAACCCTAATTGGGTTGTACCCCATATGGGCTACCCCACTACAGCCTAGACAATATGCTGCATATATGTTTGACACACCCCCATAGGCAAAGTGGGGGAGAACAAGGGGTCACACGACCAGTCAAGAGACGCAAAGCAAGCTCAGGGTGGATCTCAACGTCACCACACATTCTGAGCACAAGCAAAGGGCCGCAAGGCCAGTCCACATGCAGAGATATATATAAGCAACAAGAGCAGTACAGTGATCAATACCTAGCAAGAGCAAGCATGCAGGTATAAATATAGAGCACAGTACACACAAAAGACTACAGCAAGTGTGGAAATGTAGGCACAAGGCCTAACAAAGTACAAAAGCGCTGATGATCACCAGACGGAAGTGCCTTGGTGAATATATCAGCAGTGTTGGCCTGAGTGGCCACGTGTGCAAGACGAAGCTGACCACGCTGCTGCAACTCTTGAGCCAGGAAGTACCGCAGAGCAATGTGCTTCGTTCTGTGCTCCAGTCTGTGCTCCTCACACAAGGCAATGGCAGCCTTGTTGTCGACGTACAGC